AGCAAAGGCTGCAGGTGAGACCTGCCATGTGTCCTGCGATGCCGAGTCCAGCTGGGACCTGGTGGGGGTGCCATGCCAGGGTGGCTAGGGAGCAGACCCTATGGCCAGGGCTCCCGGCTCCGCTTCCGCCGGCCAGGGCCACTGCTCAGGACCCTGAGGTCAGAGCCCCGAGGGGTCACCATCCATGACCAGGGTGGCCACCCCAGGGTACTGTTTCTCATCCACAAGTGAACCCGGTGACAGGGAAGGAGGGCAGGTCAGGGCGTCGGCTCCTCACCCCGCAGCACTCAGCACCGGCCAGCCCGCTGTCTGGTGGGCTGCCTGCTCCCGGGGGCGCTCATCAGCTCCTGACGCTGCGAGACCCTGGGGGCCGACTGCAGCCATCTTCACACTCCCCACTCTAACAGAATCAGCATCTTCACCTCCAGCCCGTTTCACCAAACCCATCAATCATCGCCTTAGGTCCTGCTGTGGGGCTGGAGGGTGAGGCCACAGGCGTGGCAGGGTCCCACAGGGCACGCTTCATCAGGCAGGTGCGTGGGTAGAGGGAGGTGCACAGGGAGGGCGCCGGCCTCTGGCCTCCTTGGCTGGTCCTGTGGAGGCGGCAGGAGGCCCAGACCCTGCCCACCAGGTCCCCCGTCTGGCTGTGCACCCAGTAGGGCCCAGCAGTGTAGGATGACAGTGAGATTTGTCATGTGGGCGTACAGACCATTTGGAAAGATGGCAGGTTGATGTGAAATATCCATTCTCCCCTCTTCTCTGGTAACAGAACCTGGTTTTAGCTGGCAAATTGCTTTTCTTGTCTCATTGTTGCTAGTATGGTCAAGTAACTGAGTTCTGGCCAACGAGGTGTAGTCAGCAGTGGGTGCAGCACCCCCAGGAAGCTTCTCAGAAGGCAAGGACCCCTTTCTTCTATGCTTCCCCCTTCCTGCTAGCTGGAATAGAGGCATGATGGCTGGTGCTTGTGCAACCCTCTAGGTCCATGAGAAGGATGACAGAGTAGTAGAATAGGAAACAGGAGCTGGGGTCCCTGGTGATGATCAGGCGGGAATCCTGCCCCCATCACCCCTGCCTCTGAACTTTCACGTGAGAAGATGGACCTGAAGACACTATTGTGTTGTTAGAAGCAGCCAAACTTCATCCCGAGCACACAGCCTGCCCAGGATGAAGTCAACCTTAGCAGGCACGTATGTGAGCTCAGCACCATGTCTCAGTCAGCTGGAGAGAGACGAGTAACCAGAGTGGGAGCTGCTCCTGGTGAGCGTGAGGGCGTCCTTGTGACGAGGCCTCGGCAAGAGCCACCAGCACATGTTCAGTCACCGGTGGGCGTTCAACAGCGCCTGCGACTCTGGGCGGAGAAGGGAACCCGGACCTGGAGTTCCTGCCCTGGATATCCAGCTCGGGGTCATCATAAGTGGCTTCAATAGGGACAGACACCTTGGAGATGTTCTGGCCCGAATTTATTTCAGGCCTTGTTATCGAATTAGCTTTAGACCTGAAACTCTCTGGCTGAAGTCTCTGCCCTGTGCTTCAGACCTGTCCAAGAGGGAGATCCTGGCTGCTGGCCTGGCGCCACTCGGGACGCTCCCTGAGACTTCCAAATGCATGCACAGGTGCCCCTTGGGAGGTCGCAGCAGGTGCTGCCCTCCGCGTCCTGCATCCTGGTCACCCAGGTGAGCACAGAGGCAGTAACTCTTGGCTGAACCAGCACAGGCCCCACGACCCCTAGACTCACCCCAGGCTTGGAAAAGGCTCGAGGGTCCTTGGCAAAGGGAGGGACGCTGGAGCCGGGACCAGGGAGGAGGCGACTGCGCTGGGGAGACGTGAGAGGGACGGGCTGATGTCTCCTGTTCTGAGAACAAACGGCGCCCCGATGAGGACAGGATCCTGGTTCACGTCCCTGCACACGCGGGGGCTGCCTCAGAATGCCGCGCTTTCCGCTTTCTCTCAGGATAACAAAGAAGAGTTATAAGTTAAAGCTATTTATCTCCATATAGTCATATGCCCACTTCCCACCCCAGCGGCTCTGTGTCCCCCTCTGGCTGTTTCTGCGGTTTTGCTCTGCAGCCCCCCTGCAGCTAGGAAGAGCCATGGGGCCATGCCCCCTTCCTGGCTGACTGAGTGAGGGGTGACACCCGCTGGACCAACAAGGTGGACACCTCCAGGCCTCCTGGACACCAGAGAACAACTCCTTGCTTAAGCCATTATTATGCTAGGGTTTTCTCTTACTTGCGGCCGACCGCTATCCTGCCCACGGCAGAACTGAAATTTGCAATGACTTCATTTAATCTTTGCAGAACGCACCAGGAGGACAGATGGACGGCCAGCGTGTTCCTGACCTGGAGCAGACTCAGGCTCTCCTCCGACACCACGTGTAGGAAGGGCTCGGGTGGGGGCGAGGGGCCGAGTGTGGTGGGGTGGGGGATGACGACGATGGACGCTCTGCAGGCCGCATGTGGAGAGGAGACTTTCAGCAGGAGTGATCCTGCAGAGCGGCGAGGGGTGAGCTGTTTCCGCGAGGGAAATGACCAGTTTTTTTTTTTTTTAATAATTTTATTTATTTATTCCCCCCCCCCAAAGCCCCAGTAGACAGTTGTATGTCATAGCTGCACATCCCTCTGGTTGCTGTATGTGGGACGTGGCCTCAGCATGGCCGGAGAAGCAGTGTGTTGGTGCGCGCCTGGGATCCGAACCTGGGCCGCCAGCAGCGGAGCACGCACACTTAACCGCTAAGCCACGGGGCCGGCCCGAAATGACCAGTTTTAAGAGAAGTGAAAGCAGAGTGGAGCCCACCTCCCTGACCCCGCTCCCCCAGGGGGCTCCTCCTCCCTTCTCAGTGTGCGCTTCTGGGGTCAGACCCCGGGATGGGGACAGGAGCCAGGCGGAGGTGCAGAGAGGCACTCGGTCAGCAGTCCTGGAGGCAGACGCTGTTATACCCTCATTTTACAGAAGAGGAAACTGAGGCACAGGGAGGTCCAGCTAGAAAATGGTGGAGAAGCAGCAGCCCCACCTCTCACGGTTGGTCCCCAGATGCACCTGGCGGAGGACCCAGGGCCCTCTGATTAGGCCTCCGATTTGGCCAGGGAGCCTTTACCAGGCGGCTGAGACGCCTGCGGGGCTCAGCACCAAACCTGGGAGGCTGAGGGCTCAGACCCGCGCAGGTCTCACAAAACCAAAGACGTGTCCCCTCGGCCTCCCCACAGGTGACTTTCTACATCCCAGCAGAGCTGGAACCTCTCAGGTTGCAGTGGCCCCCACCTGGCCCCGCGCCCGAGCAGTGGGCCCCCACCTGCACAGCGGGCGGCATGTGAGGCTGGTGACCTTGGCAAGTGTGAGCCCCTGGCACCACACAGCGGGAGCAGATGTGGGGCCTCGCATTCCAGGGCCTGGTTTCCATCGAGACTGAGACCTCGTTACTGGTTCTGAAATCCCTCCAAGTGAAGGCGTGGCGCCCAGCAAGTGTTTTTATGCAGAAATATGAGAGCTCTTCCGCCGACATGGCGTAAAATTGCTTTTATAAACTGAGGTGAACGCAGACGCGGGGGTCGTGGGCCAGGCCCCCAGGTTCCCTTGGACCCGCCGGGCTGACCAGCTAGCTGGGCTTCACTCAGCCTGGCGCTCAGGGCCCCATGGCCCCTCAGGCTTGCAGCCCCAGGAGGAGGAAAGGACCCAGCCTCCACTGCCCCCTCGTCCAGCCTCGGTCTGGACTGTTCACATCCGCCTCGTTTTGCTCCGTGACGGAAACCTGCAAGTCTGTCCCCTGACCTGGCAGCGCCCAGGGCTGGACTCCTAACTGGGGGACGGGGGCCTCCTCAAAGGGCTGAGGAGAGCGCGAAGGCCCCAAAGCTAAAGTGTGGGTGAATTAGCCCAGTGGGGACCCCCGAGCCCCGTTTACTGAGCGACCCCACTCCCCTCGTCGTGGTCCCGAAGGATCAGGGTGCAGCTGTGTCTCCTGAAGTGACAGCACAGGGGCCGGGGGGACCCCATGGCCGACGCCCGGCTGGGATGGTAACTCAAAGTCTGCCCCTGTTAAGATGCCAGTGGTGGGTCTGCCACATGAGTTGTACGGGAGGATTCAATGTCCCCGAGCACAACAAACTGGTGATTCAACTCTGATTCAACCCCTGAGCTCCAGCACCAGTTCTGGGAATAGTTTCAGAACAATCTGTGGTGAAGGAGGCTGAGCATTCTACGGAAGCAGGTTTTCCCCTGCCCGACCTGTGGCTGGGGGGGCTCTGCCTGGGCACCAGGAGCTGCGTCTCCATGAAGAATTGGGGACTGAGTGCACATGGAGATGCTGCCTGACTGTGCGCTCCGGGCAGCAGTAGAATCAGCCAGAAAACCAGGCAAATACACGTGACCAGTCAGGCCGCAGGCTCCCCACAGAGCCGGGGGGTCACCTGGGTCGGGGGCCTACATGGCAGGAGCCATCGGGTGTCCTGTCCAGGCTGACCACAGGCCTCATGGTGGCAGAGGCCTCGGGGAGTTTATCACCCTCCAGGCCCAGGCCTTGGCCTGATGGACCCAGAGACAGCTCTGAGACCATCAGGCCAGGGGGCTGCATCCCACCGGCCAGCTCATGGTAGACGGACAAAACAACTTCACTTTGCATTTACAGCAACGACAGGATCTGCATGTGGAGAGCACAGGACAGCCACCGCGGCCGCCCGCTGTGACTGCCCTTCCCCCACGTCGGCACGGTGAGGACCTGCACACCAGCGGCCTGGACGCTCAGGAAGGGCAGCCCCCAGCCTGCCTTCTAACGCATCGCCATGGTGACTGGCCCTGTGGAGGAGGGTCCTGCTCGCTTTCCGGCCAACGCCTGTTCCGGCCTGGGCACTGTCCTCTTGGGATGTCCCGTCTCTCCCAGGTCACTGTGCCGGTTCTCAGGGGTCAATTTCATTTTCTTCCGGCCTGGGTTCTGGGGCACCTGCTGTCACCCCATGCACCCCTAAGTGTTTGTGCCATCCACCGATGACCAGTTGGCCAACTCCACTCACCAAGCAGGCCGCCGGGGGTGTCCTCCTGGCCATGCAAGGTGTCTGATGCCAGCACTGGCTCCAGGTCTCCCTTGGGGAGCGGCGAGTCGGCTCCGGCACTTTCCAGGGCAGCTCTGGGTTCCAGGGCCCCAGACTTGGGGCTGGACAAAGGATAGGCGATGCACTCAAACCCACTGTGAAGGGAACGGCAGGGCGGGCTCTGCTCACACCAGGCTGGGGTGACACCTGGCCATGGGGGGACACAGTGGCCCAGGGGCCATTCCAGAGAGGAGAAAGGGCCAAGGTGGCCTCTCTGAGACTGAGGTGGTGCAAAGGAAGGAGGGAGGGGGGAACGGAGACTAGGAAGTGGGGAGGGAGGAAGGAGGAGGCTCTAGGACCACCTGAAACCAGGCCGCGGCCCCAGCTTCAGTCCCTCCCTGTCACTCTGCCGGGCTCCCCTTCCTGTCCGGCCCTCATTGCCTGACGGTGCCTTTGTTTCCCCTCCACTAGACTGAGCATGCCATGTCTGGAGGTCACCGCTGTGTCCCCAGTGCCCGCAGCGTCTGGAGGGTGTGGAAGCGCTTGGGGAGGGGCTCCAGGTGGAGCAGTTCTGGGCCATTCCTCCTCAAAGTCGAGGAAGGACCCCCTCCCCCCGCCCCACAGGGGCATCGCCTGGGGTCACCCTTACTCACAACGGGGTCTGGATGGGCATCTCCTGGTTGTCCTCGTCCACTTGGAAGAAGCTGACCTCCGAGTAGGCTGGGAGCTGCACGTATCTGACGCCCGCTGAGATCTTTAAAACCCGGCCATCCTCACCTTCCGGAAGGAGAGTGAAGCAGACTGTGCCAAGGAACGGCACGACACCCAGGACCTGGGTCTCTCTCCTCCTCCCTAGCCTTGCCCTGGGCAGGGACTCAGGGCTGAGGGTGTTTGTGAGGGGCATTTCAGCAGAGCCTCCCAGGAGCAGGGTGCTGGCCCCAAGCCATGACCACATTCAATCTGAGATCATGCTTGCCTTCCCATTCTGTCCCCCCTGGCCCTCGGCTAAACCGTCCACGACCTCCCCAACATCTCTGCCCCCTCACTGTGAGTCCCGACCATCTCCAGGTCTGGGCCTCAGGGCACCCACCGCACCTCTGGCCCATCCCTACACCCTCTGGGAGGGCCTCTCCTTGCTGGCCAGCCCTCGGGTTCACCAGCTGCATACCTCAGCCTCAGCCCACTCAGGGGTGTGGGGGATGGCTTGCCTCCCCGTGGTCCTGGTCACCCGGGGGGACGTCGCCGCTTATTACCTATCTCCCACCTTGACCCAGGGGATGGGGTCTGTCCTACTCGCCTACACCCCTGGTCACATGGACTTGGGGGTTCAGGGTCCAGTGGAGAAGGAGAGTCAACAACAACCAGTGTCAGTGAAGGCCTGTCACCCAGGCTCTTGTGTTGCTAAGATCTGGACAAGGAGACATGGCGGGGAAAATACTGGAAGTACTTTGCCGTGGAAAGAGAAGGTGCCAAGTGCAGCATAAAAACCAACCACGGTTTATCAGCCTCCGTTTCTGGTAAAGATGGAGAAACTGGAACCAATGTCCCTTTTACTCGCAGCAACGAAAGAAGCAGATGAAACATGACGAGACAACGACTTTCAAGATCCTAGACCTCAGGCAAGGACAGCGGCCCCCGAAAGACGTGGCCTCTGTAACTGCAGGTCGCTGCCCTGAGTGTGCGGGATTGGGTGCAGAGCGGAGACCTGAGCAGAGCTCAGAAAACCCCCTCCCTCGGGTGAGGAGACACGGCTGTAAGTCGGGAATAGCAGGCACACAGCAGGAGTCCTCGGGTCCCAAAGACGAGGGGCAGAGAGGAGGGGGGACCCGGCCGTCTGCAGGGTCTGAGGGCCCCTGGGTGGACAGCGGAGCACAGCTCCACTGGGTCCTGGGCAAGGAAGAACCACCCGGAGAGCGGAGGGGACAGGGCTGGGGGGCCTGTTCCAGCCAGAAGGCACGCATACGGGCAGAGCTCTCAGACGGGGCTTGCTTCAGTAACGAGGAATAGTCGGTCTTAGACTGAGCTCTCCTCTAGGCCTAACCAATCACAAAAGCAAGACCTGAAAGGAAGGCATTGCCTCCCAATAACTTAACTGTGCCTGGAGCAAAGCTCAAGAACACTCACAGGAACACGGAAGTATCCAGCCCCAACAAGGTGAAACTCACAGTGTCTGGCGTCCAATCAAAGATGACCAGGCTCACAAAGAACACAGGAGAGCACAGCCCACAACGAGGAAGAGCTCAGTCAACTGAAAGGGACCCAGAACTGACACACATGTTAGAATTAGCAGTGGGGCTGGCCCCGTGGCTTAGCGGTTAAGTGCACCCACTCCGCTGCTGGCGGCCCAGGTTCACATCCCAGGCGAGCACGGACGCACTGCTTCTCCGGCCATGCTGAGGCTGCGTCCCACATACAGCAACTAGAAGGATGTGCAGCTATGACATACAACTATCTACTGGGGCTTTGGGGAGAAAAAGGGAAAAAAAAGGGGAGGATTGGCAATAGATGTTAGCTCAGGGCCGGTCTTCCTCAGCAAAAAGAGGAGGATTAGCATGGATGTTAGCTCAGGGCTGATCTTCCTCACACACACACACAAGAATTAGCAGAAAAGGAAACTTTAAACAGTTATTACAACTGTATTCCATGTGTTCTCTGGACATGGTCAATGACAGATGAGACATTGAAGAAAAAAATATTCATGAACTTGAAAACATAGCTGTAGAAACTATCCAAAATGAAACAATGACAGAAAAAAGAATAAGGGAAAAGAAGGAAGGGAGGAGGGAAGGGAGGGAGGGAGAGAAAGAGAGTCCATGAACAGTGAGGTAACTTCAAGCAGCCTAATATGTGGGTAATTGGGGTCCCTAAAAGAGGGAGGGAGAGGCTGTGACAGAAAAATTATTTGAAGAAATAATGGCTGAAAACTTGATGAAAACTATAAACCCATAGATCCAAGAAGCTCAATGGACTCCAAGCACAAAAAACACGAAGAAAACTACACCATGTCACATCAAAATCCAATTGCTCGAATCAGTGATAAAGAGAAAATCTTAAAAGCAGCCAGAGAAAAAGGACATGTCTGTAGAGACGCAAAGACAAGGATGACAGCAGATTTCTCACTGGAAACAATGCAGACAAGAAGAGAATGGAGAAATCCTTGAAACGCTGGAAGATGAACCAGAAATCTACACCTGGTACCAATATCTATCAAAAATGAAAGTAGGGGCCGGCCCTGTGGCGTAGCTGTTAAGTGTGTGTGCTCCACTTCAAGGGCCCGGGTTTCGCAGGTTTGGATCCCAGGCGCAGACCTGCATATCTCTCATCAAGCCATGCTGTGGTGGCATCTCACATATAAAATAGAGGAAGATGGGCACAGATGTTAGCTCAGGGCCAATCTTCCTCAGCAAAAAGAGGAGGATTGGCAATTGATGTTAGCTCAGGGCTAATCTTCCTTATCAAAAAAAAAAAAAAGAGGAATACTGGCAACAGCTGTTAGCTCAGGGCCAATCTTCCTCAGCAAAAAGAGGAGGATTGGCAATTGATGTTAGCTCAGGGCTAATCTTCCTTATCAAAAAAAAAAAAAGAGGAAGACTGGCAACAGATGTTAGCTCAGGGCCAATCTTCCTCACAAAAAAAAAAAAAAAGAAAGTAATATCAAGACTTTCCAGACATATGAAAGCTGAAAGAATTCATCACCAGCAAACCTGTATGACAAGAAATGTTAAAGATTAAGTCCTTCAGGCAGAAGGAAAATGGTACCAGATGGAAATCTGGAGGTCCAGGAAGGAATGAGGAGAAGAAATGGTAACCACATGAGTAAATAGATGAGATTTCCTTTTCTGTTTGTTAAATATTCTTTAAAAGATAAATGACTGTTTAAACAAAAATGATAACAATGTATTATGAAGTTTATTAGACATATGAATGTAAAATGTTTGAAAACAACAGTATAAAGATTGGGTTTGTAGAAAAAGAAGTATGTACTATTGTAAGATTCTTATACATGTAGTTCAGTATCACTTGAAGGTAGACTGTGATAAGTTAAAGACGTATATTGTAAACCTTAAAGCAACCTGTAAAATAACAAAACAAAGAGTTACAATTGATAATCAACAGAGGAGATAAAATGGAATCACAAAAAATACTCAGTTAATCCAAAAAAGATAGGAACAGAGTATAAAGGGAAAAATAAACCACTGGGGCAATTAGAAAACAAATAGTAAACGGTAAGATTGAACCTGCTTTATCAATAATTATATTAAATGTGAATGGTGTAAACACTTCAATCAAAACCTAGAGACAGTTTGATTGGAGAAAAAAGCAAGACCCAACTGTATGCTGCCTACAAAAAGCACACTTTAAATATAAAGACACAAATAGGTTACCAGTAAAAGGATGGCCAAAGATGCTGACACTGTCAAAAGAAGACTGAGTGACTATATTAATATCACAGAAAGTAGATGTCCGGGGCTGGCCCAGTGGCGTAGTGGTTAAGTTCGCGTGCTCTGCATCAGCGGCCCAGGGTTTGCAGGTTTGGATCCCGGGCATGGACCCACACACCGCTCATCAAGCCGTGCTGTGGCAGCATCCCACATATAAAAAATAGAGGAAGATCGGCACAGATGTTAGCTCAGGGTGAATCTTCCTCAGCAAAAAATAAATAAATAAATAAATAAAATAAAAAATAAACGAAGCAAAAATTGATAGAAATGAAAGCAGAAATAGACAAATCCACAATTACAATCAGAGATTTCAATATACCACTGTCAATAATTGATAGACAAGCAGACAGAAAATCAGCAAAGATATAGCAAACTCAAACAACATCAACAAAACTCACCTGATTGATATTTATAGAATAGTCTACCCAATAAGAGCATAATTCACGCTCTTAAGAAATTAAGAGTTAGAAATCAATAACAGTTAAGTTAGAAATCAATAACAGAAAGATCTCTGGAAAATCTCCAAATATTTGGAAATGAAATAACACTCTCCTAAATAACTCATGGATCCAGAAAGAAATCAAAAGAGAAATCAGAAAGTATTTTGATTTGAATGAAAATGAAAGCACAACATGTCAAAACTTGCGGGATGCAGCTAAAGCATTACAAAGGGGGAAATTTATAGCAATAAACTTCTGTTCTAGAAAAGAAAGGTCTGAAATAAAGAACCTTAGTTTTCACCTTAATAACTACAAAAAGGAGAGCAAATTAAACCCAAAGTAAGAAGAAGTAAGGAAATAATAAAATCAAGATAAGAATCAATGAAATAGAAAACAGACAACAATAGAGAAATCAACGAAGCCAAAAGTTGGTTGTTTATCAGTGACACTGATAACCTCTAGCTAGACTAGTCAGGAAAAAAGAAAGAAGTCACCAGTAATCCATACTGGGATCAAGAGAGGTGATATCAATGCATTAAAGGGAGAACAATGGTATATTATGACAAGCTTATGCCAATAAATCTGACGACTTAGAAAAAATGAACAAATATTGCTTGAAAGACACAAAACACCAACCTCACTCTAGAAGAAATAGGAAACCTAAATAGCCCTATATCTAGTCAAGAAAGTGAATTAGGAGTTAAAAATCTTTCCACAAAGAAAACTCCAGGCCCAGATGGGTTTCATATTGAATTCTACCAAACATTTAAGAAAGAAATAATACTAATTCAACACAAACTCTTCCAGAAAATTGAAGAGGAGGGAATTTTCCCCAACTCATTCTGTGAGGCCAGCATGACCCTGATACCAAAACCAGACAAAGACATTATAAGGAAAAAAAATTCAATACCAATATCCTTCGTGAACAGACATGCAAAAATTCTAAACAAAATTTTAGCAAATGGATGCCCCGATAATTCAATGGGGGAAAGAACAGTCTTTCAACAGATGACATGGGGACAACTGGATATCCACATGTGAAAGAATGTAGTTGGACTCCTGCCTCACACCATACACAAAGATTAACTCCAAGTGGATCATAGTCCTAAATGTCAGAGCTAAAAATATAAATTCTTAGAAGAAAATATTGGAATATATCTTCATGAGTCTGGGCTAGGCTGCCTTCTTAGATATGACAGCAAAAGCACAAGCAACAAAAGAAAAAAATAGATCAAGTGGAATTCATCAAAATTTAAAACTTTTGGGGGCCGGCCCCATGACGTAGTGGTTAACTTCGGCACGCTCCGCTTCAGCAGCCCAGGTTCATGGGTTCGGATCCCAGGCGTTGACATACACCCCTTGTCAGTCATGCTGTGGTGGCATCCCACATACAAAATAATTTTATTTATTTATTTATTTTTCCGCCAAAGCCCCAGTAGGTAGTTGTATGTCATAGCAGCACATCCTTCTAGTTGCTGTATGTGGGACGCGGCCTCAGCATGGCCGGAGAAGCGGTGCATCGGTGCGCGCCTGGGATCCGAACCTGGGCCGCCAGTAGTGGAGCACGAGCACTTAACCGCTAAGCCACGGGCCAGCCCCACATATAAAATAGAGGAAGACTGGCACAGATGTTAGCTCAGGGCGAATTTTCCTCAGGAAAAAAAAAAAATGTAAACTTGCGTGTTCAAAGGACACCATCAAGAAACTGCCAGACAACTCACGTAATGGGAAAAAATATTTGCAAATCAGATATCTGACAAGGGACTTGTATCCAGAATATATAAAGAACTCTAAATAATTCACAATAAAAAGATAAGTGGGCAAAGGATCTGAATAGACATTTCACCAAAGAAGATATACAAATGGCCAATAAGTCTGTGAAAAGATGCTCCACATCACTAGTCACTAGGGAAATGCAAATCAGAGCCACAAGGAAATTCCACTGCACACCCTCTAGGATGGCTTTCCAAAAGATAGACAACAAGTGCTGGCGAGGATGTGGAGCAATTAGAACCTCAGGGAAGGGAAAATGGTGCAACCAACAGGAAGAAAATATCCAGACTGGAAAGGAAGGAGGAAAACTGTTTATTTGTAGATGACATGATACTGTATATAGAAAATCCTAAGAAATCCTCAGAAAAACTAGTAGAACTAACAAATGAGTTCAGCAAGGTCAAAGGATATAAGATCAATACACAAAAATCAATTGCAGTCTGGCAATTTCTGAAATGAAGAAAAGGAAACAATTCTACTCATAATAGCATAAAAGAATAAATCCAAAAAATAAATTTATTGATAACACATTATAATTAAATAACTAATAATAAATTATTAATCATTTATTAATAAATTTCACAAAAGAAGTGGGAGACGTGCACTCTGAAAATCACAAACCCTGGTGAGAGAAGGTAGAGATATAAACAGACAGAGAGCTGTTTCATGCTCACGAACTGGAAGATTCAGTCCTGCTGAAGGCAGTTCTCCAAGCTAGAGTCAACGCAATTCCTAACAAAACCCCAGCAGGCCTTTTTTTTTTTTTTTGGCAGCAATTGTCAACCTGATCCTAAAAAATTTATACTGTATGGAAATACGAAGGTCCCAGAATAGCCAAAGAAATTTTGAAAAAGAACAAAATTGGAGGAATCTCCAATTTCAAAGCTTACTCCGAGGCTACAATAATCAAGACAGTGTGGTGGTGGTGTAAGGACAGACACCTAGATCAACAGAACAAAATCGAGAGTCCAGACACAAACCCCAATCCTACAGCCAAGTGACTTCCCACCAAGGTGCCAGGCAATTCAGTGGGGAGAGGACAGTCTTTCCAACACATGTGCTGGGACAACCGGACATCCACACGAAAAAAGATGAACTTAGGCGTTTACCTTATCCACAAAAATTAACTCAAATGGATCACAGACCTCAATGCATGAGCAACATTTCTGCAGGGAAATAAGAGAAAATCTTTGTGAACTTGGGTTAGGCTAAGAATTCTTAGATACGTTACCAAAACTACAATCCATAAAAGAAAAAATTGACAAATTGGACTTCATCAAAATTAAAAACCTTTGCACTTCAAAAGACAGCATCAAGAAAATGAAAAGATAAGCCACAGACTGAAAGAAAATATTTGCAAAGATGTATCTGATAAAGGACTTGTATCCAGAATACATAAAGAACTCGCATAACTCAAAAATAAGAAGACAAACAACGCAATTTTTAAAAATGGGTAAAACATTTGAATAAACGTTTCTCTAGAGAAGACACACATGGCCAACAAGCACTGGAAAAGCTGGTCATCATCACCAGTCGTTAGAGAAATGCAAATCAGAACCACGAGGAGATGCTACTGACACCGTCGGACGGCTGCTGTGGGGAGTACCAAGTGCTGGTGAGGACGTGCGGAAATCAGAACGCTGGGACGTGCTCAGGGGATCATGAAATGGGGCAGCCACTTTGGAAAACAGTTTGGCAGTTTCTTTAAAAGTTTAAACAGAAACGTACCATATGATCCAGCAATTCCATTCATAGGGAGGGACCCGAAAGAAGTGAAACATATGTTTACACAAAAACTTGAACACACACGTTGAAAGCAGCACTATTCATAGTAGCCAAAAGGTGCAGACACTCAGATGTCCATTGTGGACGAATGGTCAATAAAACGTGGTGTCTGGGTGTGGTGACTATCGGTCAGTAAAAAGGAAAGACTGACTGACAACTGCCACAGGTGGACCTCAAATACCCTGTGCAGGTGAGAGCAGCCGAGGAAAAGGCCCCATGTGGAAGGACTGCATTCACGGGACACGTGCAGAAGAGGCAGATCCATGGACAGAAAGTGGATGCGTGGTTGCCCGGGGTGAGGGTGGGAGCCGGGCTGCCAGCAGGAACGAGGGATCTTTCTGGGGTGAAGGAAATGTTCCGAGCTGGAGGTGTGGCATGGTGATGGCTGCCCTACTCTAAATCTGCTAAAAATCACTGTATCACTTAATACAGGTGAATTTGATGGTATGTAAATGATACTGCAATAAAGTTGTTAAAATAAACCAGTCGTGACTAAATGTGTTTGATATACACTGCTCACCGAGGCCTCCTCGTTAACGCTTATTGAACTAGGGTGAATTCACGTCCATTAAGAATCCTGGGCTTTCGTTTACTAACGGGCGGTCCCACCCCGGCGATGGCACAGGTGCCAGTGTGGGGGCCACTGCACGCTGGGGACCCTCTGCCCTGCTGCCTTGGCCAGAACGTCCAGCTCTGCACCAGGCCCTCCGCTCACCGGGCAGGAGGGCTTTGGGAAGTCAGCTCGCTCATCCCTCTGCATCACCGCAGGGCTGATGAGACCACTTAACAAGCAGCCCAGGAGGGCGGAACTCCGTCCCTCCTCGATTCCCCGTGGAGGACAACAAACTCTCCCCTTGCTAGGCTGTGACTGGCCCTACGCCGATGCGTGCAGCACTGCAGATAGTCACCTGTCCTCTGCATTCTGTAAGATGCGTGATAACTGCAGGCACATGCACACACACACAGAGCACATGTGCTCGCACACACATGTTCACACACATGCAGGCGTGCTTGCACACATGTATGCACACGCATGGCTGCCTCCCACCAGCCGGAGGGCGCACACGCCTGCTGTCCCTTCTGCAAAGGCTCTGGTATCAAGAACATCTAAACAAAGTGACCTTGGAGCGTGCAGGATGCCAGAGCCACATGCCGCGTCTTGTTTGCGTTCCCCCGACTTGAGAACCTGACACCTGTTTATCTTTCCGAAAAGTTCAGTCGTCATCTTGGAGATGCTTACTCTTGGCAACTTCCCCGTCGTCCTGCTGCAGCTGAACCCTCAAGGAGAAGGAAGTTCCTGGGGCCACATCCATCACCTCCGGACCCAGAATCACGATCCTTGTGGCTTGTGCTGGGAGAGAACAGAGCGCGGCATCAGAGGGAGGCTGGGCCCGCCAGCCGCTTGCGCCCAAAGTGAGAGCCACCAGTACGGACCCCACACCCCTACAGGTCCTCTCACGGGCATGAACGTGCGCATGGCCGTAAAGGCTGGCACGTCCCTGCCCGAGCCGCCTCACCAACAAGTGACCCTGGCCATCGTGAAAACTAAGACGTGACCCGCTCGGAGGGTCAACTATAATTATCTAAAGGAATTCATTTCAGAAATGCCTTGATCATATCAGACAGACTGCAGACATCTACCAAATGTTGAAGAGGTGGAGGTGGTGCACAGCAGTGTTCAGGTCTGCACACAGCGGAACGTTCCGGCACGTCCTCCTGCTGGTTGGGACCCAGGTCCTGCATTCCCTGCATCTGAGTCAGGGACTTGCTGTGTGCTGGACGAGGCGCTGAGGCCAGCTGCCCGGGAGCCAGCCTGGCGAGGGTGGGTCCCCCTGCAGGCCGGTCGGCCAGCACCTCCTGGTGGTCAGGGCTGCCCCTGCTCCACTAGGACCTGTGGGGGTGTCTTCTGGGGTCTGAGCAGCTGGATACGGCATTTTCGCACAGCGTGGGCTGCCCCGAGTCTCTGACTTCCCAGAAGCGATGACCTCGGCACAGCACAGCTTAGGGTCTTTAAGCAAACGCTGGGGAAGCTCAGGATGTCAGGCCACCGGAAGCTCTACCCACGATACGCCAGCTGGGAGGAAGCACCCACACGAGCATGTCCAGGGCCACAGGTGCTGGTGGGACTTCGTGACGACTGTGGGGCTGGAGGGCAACAGCTCATGTGGGCGCAGCCCTGCTCTGCTCCAGGGGACCGCCCGGCACTCAGCAGGGTAAAGACAGAGCCCACCTTGGCTCCGGGGAGTCCGGGGCATGGCCCGAGCCCATTGTGGGGAAGCAAGGCCATGTCTCATGCCTCTTGCCAGCGTCTTTCACACCCAGGGGTTCCGACTGGCCCCTAATTTGGGCGGGGTGGGATCAGGATTCCTTCCCAAGGTGAAGTTACTAAGACGCTCCTGGTGGACCCAGGGCCCTGCCTAAGGCCGGGGGCTGGGAAGGATCCAGGAGCCCCTCAAAGCAGACCCCGCCTGACCTGGGCTTCGGGTGGCTGTGGCACCCCCGGGGGATGTGCTGTGCACTGTGGGTGCCAAGACCCCCCCCAAGTACCCTCAGCCACTTCCCTTCCCAGACCTGCACCCCCACCAAGGAGTCCCGCCTGGCCCAACAGGTGCTGCGTGTGCTGAGGGTTATTAGTGCACTGTGGCCTCTCCCAGCCTGGAGGTTCTGGGGACCCACTCGAGGTACGTGGGGGCTGCCTGGACCAAAGCCTCTCAGGGGCATGGCTCGTCAGCAGCTGCACCCATGGACCTGGCACCAAGGTTCTGACCAGTCACCCATGTCCCTCGCCAGACTGACCCCTGGGGTGGCACCTTTGTCCTGGAGTCTAATGGGAGGCCTCCCCAATGCCCAGGGGGCAACACAGGGAGGCCCATGCAGGCCACAGGCCACCTGTGGTCATGTCAGTGCGGAGAGCTCGGGGTAGGGGGTCAGCTGAAGACCTCGTCAGGGGCACCAGACGCCCAGGGCCCTGTGCTGGGAGACCCCGAGGCTGGGAGACCCCATGGGTGGGAGACCCGAAGGCTGGGAGACCCCGAGGCTGGAAAACCCCGAGCCTAGGAGACCCCCAAGGCTGGGACATCCCGCTTGAAGCAGGACCACTTGGGTCCAAGGTCTGATGGGGGCCTCTGCACATCACGAGCCCTTTAGAAACCACATCGGAACGTGTTTTTCCTAACAGGGGGTGGGATCTTAGCTTCCACTGCACCCCAGCCCCCCCAACTCCTCGTGGTCCAACACCTCCCATGTGACTGCCCAGGGCCACCTGAGAGAGAACACGGCCGGACCCAGGCATGACCCCACAAGAGGACCTCACAAGGCCAACGGAGAGGCGGGGGGACACCCACCTGCTGGGTGGCCATTGATCCACATTCCACGGTAGACGACCCCAGAGCAGTGAGCCATGCTGCCCAGTCCACTGAAGACGTCGCTGTGCCACTGTCCCTGCAGAGAGAACTGCGTGGGTTCAGACGGGCATGAGGTCAGGGGGCACCTCCATCCCCGCACAGCAGGGCGGCCCCCTGGCTCCAAGGGGCCCCGGGCATGGAGGCTGCTGGGAAACCACGCTGTCTTGAGGGCGAGAAATTACACTTTATTCGAATGCAACCCAACTGGCTTTGCAAAATGCACTCCTCTTTGAGCTTTTAGAATCCAGGAAGTTTGGGACCAATGGCACTTATACAAAACGCAAACAAAACACAGGCTCAAAAGGGCACACTTGTCAGCACAAAAATCCTTTCAATACAAGGACATTGCAGTTGTACAGAGTGTGTCATAAAACACGCCAGGTCTGCGCGCGGCAGCAGCGTGGGCAAAGGAGCCGTGAGTGTTCGGCACACGGGCCCTGATGGTGAAAAGGCCAATTAAAAACACAGCGTGAACCCACACAGCCGTACAGCTGGGGAACGCCGACTCTGCCTCCCCCACAGCAAGCCTTGCTTTCTAAACCATACACACGACTCGGTGGAAGAACAATGTGAAATAGCAGGACAGGTATTTTCCTGGAAAATTTCAAGATCCTATTTTATTTGACTGTGAATCACTCCTATTGGAAGGAGAATTAGCCAAAGGCACCTCCTGGTTCTGTTCCCTCTGCTGCGGAAGCTAATGGGGCTCTCACTTTCCTGCCCTGCGTGTGGGCCGAGGCCGCTCGGCAGCTGGGGCCGGGCTGCAGTCAGGGCGGCTGGGGCCTCTTCCCTGTGGAGGGCGCTGCCCGCAGGGGACCCTGGGCCTGGGACAGGCGCCACAGACTTGGGGAAGGAACGCAGGACACTCAAGGACGAGCAGCTGAGGCCGGGGCCCGAGGAGCCGCAGAACAAGTCGACCCCACGTGCCCAGGGTCTGGCCTCCAGGTGACAGGGTGGCCCCAGAGCTCTGGCAGGCCCTCGGGAGCAGCCATTCGGGGCTACATGGCAGGCATGGGAACAGCTCCCGAAGGCTGCAGCCCCAACGAGCTCAGACACCCCAAAATCTGGGGAAAAAGAGCTTTGCACAGGCTATTTGGAACACATGGTCCCTGTGCACGAGGGGCTGGGAGCCTGATCACGTTAAGAGATGATGGCAGCTCCGTCATCCAGGCCACGTCAGCTGCTGGCCCGACCACAGCTCACCCTCAGGCCGGGGGCACAGACAACTTGCAGCCCTCGGGGGCGCCTGACAGCAGCAGTGAAACAACATCTCTTGGCTTCGGGGGGGCCATGCTGCCAGCTGGGGGTGCCAGGTGGGCAGAGGCACAGCTGCCTCTGACGGGGGCCTGGCTGTCATGGAGCCGCAGGGCAGCCTCATCCCTCCAGCCCCAAGACCCGGAGACTGAGTTCCCCGAATGGTCAGTGTTGAGTGCGGCTGACATCACAGAGAGTGTCTTGATGTCCCCTAAGATGCAGCTCACGTCTGCAGGCCATGGGCCAGATCAAAATGGAGGGAAGGCTCTAAGGTGTCATGGCAGACGGAGAACCTGCAGCCACCCAGTGGGCCCTGTGCTGCCGTCCTGGGCTAGGGGTGGGGAGGGGGACTGCCCCAGAGTCACCAGCTGACCACCCCTGGTGCCAGCACGGGCCTCTGAGCATTATCTGTGGGTTCTTAGGGCCTGCTACCAGGAATGGGTTACTGTGCACGTGTGCGTCATGGGGCGTGTGCGTGTGTGTCTGTGTTGTGTGTCTGCGCGTGTGCATGCATCTGTGTGTGTGTGCATGTGTCTCTGTGTGTGTGCGAGAGTCCGTGGGTATGTGTGTGTGGTGGGGGCAGCAGTGCTCACTGACCACGATGGGCAAGGTGATCTGGAGGGGTGGGTAGCAGAGCAGGAGAGTCCTGGGCCAGGCCGGGCTGCTGTCCTGTGTCGGGGTGGGGACAGCCCTGGAGCGTGCGGGGCACGTGAACACGGGTGCCAGAGCTCTTCTGGCTTGAGCCCAGTTACGCTGTGTTTGCTGGGACGCGGCGGGCGACTCTCGGCGAACAAGTCGCTCGAATGCTCTCCTTACTGAGGAGACCGTTCTCCCCAGGACACCATCCCCAGGCCAATCAAATGCAAACCGCATGTGAGCCAAACTGAATCCATCACCCTGACCCCGCCTGGCCCGTGAGCCTAGAATTCATGCCCTTTTCTAAGGCCTCAGGCCTCATGCTGGGAGCTGGGGATGCAGAGCGACGTTGGCTCAGTCCCTGGGCCCAGGCATCCATAGATGGTGTAACGGGACGTGGTCAGGCCCCAGAGAAAGCCTGGGCAGAGGGTGGTGGCCGCAGGGAAGGGTGGCCACCTCTCGGAGCAAACTCCTTCACGTGGGGCTGCGCTGCCCTCGCCCCTCCCCGCCCTGCCCCTCCCACAGCAGGAGCTCTGCTCACTGCACCACGCTGCGCCCTGGGCAAGCGTGCCAGCTGCCCTCACAACTGCCGTCCTCATTCCCGTCCCTGTGCAGGTGTGCTGGGCTCAACCCATCCTGCGGGTGGACGTGAGCCCCAGGGCCGGGCCATGTGCCGAGGCTGTTCAGGGGCAGGTGGGAGACTGGGATTCAAGATGCCGGAAATCAGCTCCGGAGCTCAGCTGCACCCACCACTGCCAGCTGCCGGAGCTGGACATGTCGTGCACCAGCACGCAGGACCTTGTTTCAGCCTCCCTGTCGCCGTTCTCCATCACATGACTCAAGTGTTCCCGCCAAATGGCAGCAAGGTCCCGAGGCACTGGCTCAGCACCTCCCAGCGGCCTTTCCCTTCCCTCCGGGTTGTGGTCACGTCCACGTCTCATCGCGTGGCAGGGAGGGGGGCTTCCTGGGGGCAGGAGTCACATGTCCACAGGGGCGGACGGCTCATGATGAACTCTGGCTCCATCAGGACAAAGTGCGGCTGAATCACCTCAGGCCAAGAGACTGCACACAGCACGATGACCACCGGCCCGTTGGCCAGGTTGGGTCACAGTCACAATGAGAATGGCCATTTCTCCTCTCTGGTCACCCTCCCCATCTGCTCGGCCCTCTGCAAAGCACCAATGGGGGCTTCCAGAAGGAAGGCCAGGCCATGGGGTGAGCCCGGGAAGGAGAACACTCAGGCGGGTCATTTAACACCAGAACGTCGGCTGATGGTCTGTGGGGAACGGGGCTTCCACCGTCAGCCAGGGAACAGCTGCCTGACGAGTGTGCAAACCGCTGTAAATGTGCCCGTCAGACAAGACCTGCACCGGCTTCAGGGTGAGTGGTGTCAGGCTCGCAGCCGCTGTTCAGGCTCTTGCTCCCAGCATTTAGCCTGGTTATCAATGACAGGCCCCCGTCGATCACACTCCCAGAATCTGAGTCCACACCACAGTTCGGGGTGAGCTGGATATTCATGGCTTTAATGCAGAACTTCACTGGGACAAACACATTCTGGTGAGCAGTGTAACTAACCCAACAGCGCAGAATCCTTTCTAATTAGTGTTATAAATCACATGTCTGAAAATCCTGCCCTTTCTCAGTTAGCTGACGCACTCCCAAAGCACAAACAAATGCATATTAATGGATCTGACCGAGGAGGCCGGCACCCCGGGGGTGTCATGGGGCTCCTCACCACAGAGGCCGAGATCATTGCTGACACCATGCCCGGGGGCACACACACCTGGTGTTGGGGGCTTCCACCGCTCTCCCCGCTCCTCCCTGCCCACGTGAGGACCTGTGCTCAGCAGGCACAACTTGGGACAGAGGCGATGACGACAGGGCCAGTGTGGGAAGGGCCACCCCCCAAGTAAAGCGAGACTGAGGGGAGCAGGAGTCCAGCCTTAGGATGTGGTCCTGCAGGATGAGAGGGAGGCGTACCTAGTCACCCCGTGGTTGCTGAGGCGACCCTGGGACCCTGAAGCGGACGCTGTGGGCCGGTGGCCCAGCCTGGCCTCTCCATCCCAGTGTCTCCATCCTGGCCGGGCTCAGGGACACGGCTGAGCGCTCACAGCTCCCAGATCTGGACCCGCGTGCTCATAGCTTCTTCGATAACACTTTGTCTCGATGACACTGTTTCACTGAGCACAGTCACCAGGTGGTGGGAGGAGGACAAGGGGCTCCTTCAGTGCCTTCCCCACTACAAATGAGTTTGAATAAATTGTGAGCAATAAGTACTTGACTCTTCTCGTTTCAGGAAGCACTTGATACTCCTGTTCTTTCTGAGGGAAAAGTTACTATGCTTTTATTGGAGTTTTTCTGCAGCTGTGGTGCCCCCTCTTGCGTTTTTGGGTGCTCCCAGGAACATACTGAATCTCCACTCCGGTCAGAACCCACTCTCCCCGGGCCTGGCTCTCCCAGCCGCTGCCCCAGAAAGTATTCACAGTCTGGAGGAAGGAATCCTCCCCCACCATTGCCAAACCTCAGACCTGAAGCCAGTGAGGACCTCCTCTGAGGTCACGGGCTCCGAGACCAGGTAGCAGTGGTCTGGGGTCAGGTCACATACGAGGATATGGCCCCAGGTCACCTGCCTGGGCCCTGCGACTGTCCAGGGGGCCGGGGTCTCCAGCTTGCGAGGCGGCCTGCTGGGGCAGCAGTGGCCACATGGGCCAGCGTGTTGGTGGCACAGGTTGGGTATGTTACCCATCAGTCTTTGTGGATGTAAGTTCCCTCACTTTCCAATTAACAGCAGGTCCACAGGGTGTCGTGTTTGACCTCTTTGATCCTGGTCATACACTCCTCGGATTTCAAAGTGTGAATGTGATGAGTTTTGCTGATGCAAGTACAAGCTGCCTTCATGTGTCTGGTTCTGACATCCGAACCCCACAGGGAACACGGGGCTCCGGCAGCCCAGACCCCTCCTCCCACGTGTGCTCAAACCAGGCCAGATGCTTCTCACGGTCTTTCTGTATTCAGTGCACCCTTGGAGTCACTGCCCCACATTCCTGGACTGTGACCTCTTGGCTGGAGGATGGTGGCATGGGCACAGAAGGCCCCTGGCATTCCTGGAGACACACAGGTGAGGAGAGGCAAAGCTAGGAGCCGCCC